ACGAATATGACTAATCTGTAAGTCTTTCTTCTCACTATTCCACATTCCATTGCTAATTAAATTAAATTAGTATGCATGCATGATTTAAAGTCATTTAGTTCTGTATCCATTGAACAGACACTTGTTACCATATTTTGTCTATGCTTTCAAAGGCAAGATGTTATATACAAACCCATGTGGCTCCTAAACACTAGGAAACATTAGTTTATGTATGTTAATATTCTCCTCAAAGCATGAATAATATGTAATCTGCACATAAACAAAGCAAAATGACTTTTATATTAGTGCATTCTCTCCCTAGAAACCCAAAATACTGCCTTTTGGGGATTTTAATCATGTTTTGATCTGTCACCATCCATTTTTTTTTCTTGGTTTGTAGACAATTGGACCAAAGATGCCCTGGAGAATTTATATTCCAGTGTCAAGAAAGAACAGCATAAAGGTGGAACTTGCACAGTGCATGTAAACCTGGCATTGTTTTGAACAGCACCGGCGATCCCATGGGAGACGTTCTACCAGTCTGTAATGAGCACTGTGTGTTAGCTGGATGAACAAAAACAGCTCAGACCTTTCCAGGCATCTGCTCAAACTAATTAAGGAGGCCAACTCTATTACCAGATGCACTTCAGACTCGCTGACGGCAGTGACACAGAACAGGATGATGGCAAAACTGGAGTCAGTGATGAACAATGTCTGCACGCAGCTCATTTAGCCAATTCCACCTGCAGCCGTCAGAGGCTACTTTTGTACTGATTGGTGTAATGATGCTGAACATGATTTTATCGAACAGAAATTCTGCTCTGGTAGCCTATCTTATTCACTCATGTTAAACAAGCATTATTTTTTATTACACAACTCTTACTATTAGTAGTAGTGCCTATTAGTATTAGAATAGTATTACTGTATTATATTTTGATCAGTCACAGCATTCACTTATTAGTTGTTGTAAAAATTACCTCAGAGAATTCCAGTATTAATATTATTGTAAAATTGTTGCGTTTGTCTTGTTGCTAGGCCAATTATTTTTTACATTGTAATGTAACAATTTGTTCTTAGCGTAGCTTTAAGATAATATAGTTAGGTATTTTAAATCAATGTTTCATATCTATTTGTCTATTAAATGTGATGTAGACTTATTTTAATTGTTTGAAACCTACCTGCAAAGCTACAGTACTGTTAAAAGTTTTAGGCACTTGTGTAAAAATGCTGTAAAATGAGGATGCTGTCAAAAATATTGTCATAAATAGATTTTCTTTATCAATTAACTTCTATTAACTAAATTAAATCAACATTTGGTTTGACAATTCTTTGCGTTTAAAGCAGCTTTTGCCCTAGGTGCATAGTTTTTTCAGGTAGATTTGCAGGTAGGTTTCTTAAAGCATCTTGGAGATGTTGCCACAGTTCTTCTAGATTTAGTCTGTCTCAGTTTATTCTGTTTCTTCATGTCTTTCCAGACATTTTCTCTAATAATTTTGGCCACCACTGTACATCTTGAATGGCTCGTGGGTGAGCACATTTTCAGCATACATTTATTTTTGGTTGAACAATTCCTTAAATACACAAAGGCACAGGACAATAAATAGATCAATAAATAAACTTTAATTCTGTACATAAAGTATATACACAGCAATATCATGATGCTGTACAATAAGTCAGCTTCATTGAGCTCGAATTAAAATATCAAAAGACCAGACAAGAGGAGTTAAATTATATATATGAGACATCTTATAAAAAGACAGATTATGTATCATATAAAAACAAAACATGATGCCTATTCTTCCACGACTAGACTCAAATAAATAATAATAATGATAATATTAATAATAAGAAGAATAAAACATTAATTTAAAAAATCTTTACTGTAATCATTTTCTTTAGTCATGGTGTAATGGTGTACCAATACATAACTCTGCTTTATTTAGTTTCATTTAGCAAAATGTTTATTTTTCTAAAATAAAATGTCTTAATAATAAAAGATCATTAGAACACATGACATGTAGCACATACAGTGCTGCTTGAAATTTTGTGAACCCATTGCAGAATAGTAAAAATTTAAATTAGAAGAGTAATTTTAACAAAATAAGAGAGATCATACAAAATGCATGTTATTTTTTATTTAGTACTGTCCTGAGTAAGATATTTTACATAAAAGATGTTTACATTTAGTCCACAAGACAAAAAAATAGCTGAAATTATTAAAATAACCCCATTCAAAAGTTTGGGAACCCACCGCCGCCATGTCGTGGAGACGCTGTGAGTTTCGTTGTAAAAGCAAAACTACTTTGTTTGGCCTTCCAAAAGAGGACACAACTAGAAATCAGTGGTTAAGTTGAATTCACAACACTGTTCTGGAACAGTTCAACCCAAATATTCAGATGTGTGCAGCGCATTTTACGGAGGACGAAGACTGTTTCCTGGGAGAGTTGCATACAATGCCAGTGTCTGTTTTGATAAAGTGGGGCAATTCCAACTTTGCAAGGACAGTCTGGCACTTCTGACTCACAGCCTGTAAGTACGTTTTCATATTTAAAGAATTTGCCACTGATAATTCAAACTGGAGTTTTGAGCAGTGTAGAGTAGCGCTTGTTGTTTGTCGTTTCTCCGATCACAAATGCAGGTGATACGCAACGCGTAAAAAGACAGTACAAGTCATTATAATAAGTAATTATGTCCCCACTGGATGCAACAAATGCCTCGTTTATCATGGGTTTTATTGTTTTTGTCTCGTCGCGCCGGGGACAGGGCATCACAGTATGGTAAGGTGGTGCGCATAAACACATTTCATTACACCAAATACACAAAATAATGTTCTTTTTAGCAACGTCATATGACCCCTTTAATACTGTGTGTGGTCACCTGGATGATCCACGACTTTTTTTTTTGTTTTGTGATGGTTGTTCATGAGTCCCATGTTATTTTTTTATTTAGTACTGTCCTGAGTAAGATATTTTATGTAAAAGATGTTTACATTTAGTCCACAAGAAAAAAATAGCTGAAATTATTTAAATAACCCTGTTCAAAAGTTTGGGAACCCTTGGTTCTTAATACTGTGTGTGGTCACCTGGATGATCCACGACTGTGTTTTAGTTTTGTGATGGTTGCTCATGAGTCCCTTGTTTGTTCTGAACAGTTAAACTAAGCACTGTTCTTAAGAGAAATCCTCCATGTCCTGCAGATTCTTCAGTTTTCCAGCATCTTGTGCATATTTGAACCCTTTCCAGCAGTGACTGTATGATTTTGAGATCCATCTTTTCACACTGAGGACAATCGAGGGACTCAAACACAACTATTAAAAAAAGGTTCAAACATTCACTGATTCTGCAGAAGGAAACACGATGCATTAAGAACAGGATGAAGATGTCCAAATTTTTATTTTGTAGAAATATAATTTTTTTCCATTTAGTACTGCCCTTCGGAAGCAGCAGAAGATACTTGCATGTTTCCCGGAAAACAAATTAAGTACAATTTACCTTGATCTTCAAATTCAAAAAGTTTTCATATATGTGTAGAAACTGTGATATATTTTTTTATGATTCAAAAGAACAGCATTTATTTGAAATAGAAAGGTTTTGATATCTTTTGCATTATAATTGTATTGATAATGTCACATTTGATCAGTGTAATGCATCCTTGCTGAATAAAAAAAAAATTAACTGATTTTTTTTTACACATTAATGATAAATATAATTTGTAATTCAGGGGCTCATGTCTATATCATTTTGAATGTATATTTCTATTATGTACTTTTTAAATGCTTTTTGTAAAAAAAAAAAAAAAAAAGAAGAGCTGAATCCAGCATTTCTTAGTTAATAGGCCAACTTTTCATGAAATTGAGCATCTCAATTTTACTTTGAGTTCAAAGTAAGTAATTTCTCCCCTTTTTGTTGATCTGTAGTTGTAGCATATCTATGTGGAATTTGTTGAAGAATCTGCAGGATATGGAGGATTTGTATGAAGAACAGTGCTCAGTTTAACTGTTCAGAACAAACAAGGGACTCGTGAACAACCATCACAAAACAGAAAACAGTTGTGGATCATCCAGGTGACCACACACAGTATTAAGAACCAAGGGTTCCCAAACTTTTGAATGGGGTTATTTTAATAATTTCAGCAATTTTTTTTTTGTCTTGTGGACTAAATGTAAACATCTTTTATGTAAAATATCTTACTCAGGACAGTACTAAATAAAAAATAACATGCATTTTTATGATCTCTCTTATTTTGTTAAAATGACTCACATTTTCACAGATTCTGCAAGGGGTTCACAAACTTTCAAGCAGCACTGTATATGTTTGAGAGACATCTGAACACACTAGGACATTAAAGACAAAAAAGATCTGTTTGCTGAAACCCTTGTCCACATGCTTTTATCATAGCCCAGAGATTGTGTTTGATCAAGGAATGTGTATGTTCTGCTTTGAATTAGAAGTAACATCTGAAAACACTTAGAATCCTGACACAGCTGAGATCCGATCATTCCTGCTCTGTTCTCAGAAGCATGAGTGGAAAATACAATTTTGGGACTGCAAGTTAAATTAAAGTGATTGTCAAAGAACAAAATACACCTGCACAGTTATTGGAAAGAATGGCTTAAAAAGGAACATATATTACATAGCAATAAACATGTATTGGATTTTATGGAAATATATGAAGCATTAAATGTTGTCTTAACAATTAAGATATTTCAAAACAATGTGAGTTTTGATGCTATATTGAATAGATGATAGTGAAAAGTGCTGTGGTTGACAACCCCCTACACTAACATTCAATAAATGAAATACAGAAAACACAATTCTCTCAGATGAGAAGAAAACATGACACTGACATTCAGCAGTTGAATGAAACACACAAACAATGGCCCCTAGAAGTATTTGGACAATTAAGCTAGATGTGAAAATGATTAGATATCAAAATATCAAACCAAATGACATTTATTTTAACCTAATATAAGTTTAGGTTTTAAATGATAACTATCTTTAAAAAACTAGAGGAAAACAGGCACTATGTTTGGATTCATCACCTCGACTTAGTAAGAAACAAGTATTGGATTTCATTCAGCAAGTATGATGGGCTAAAAAAATGGCTTGAAAAAGTAGCGTTAGTTTTGAGAAAAGCTCTGGCAGCATTTTTTTTTTTCAGATGGTTTGGTTTTGTTAGTTAATGAAATTAAATATATACATTTTTAGGCGCAACTTAGATGTCCAAATACTCTTTGGAGTCATTGTACATTCTTCCTTTGTCACTGAGGGAGACAGGGGTTAGAACAGGGCTGTTCTGATCCCTCCTGACGAGCCCTCCAGCGTCTGGTCACCCTACAGGTGGATTCATAGATCATTCAAACAGTCACAGAGACAGTGCTGGAAAGTCATCGCCCTGGGAAGTCTTTCCTTTTCTTTAAACGAACCATCTCTTCTCTCTGTTCTTTCACTTCATATATTCTCCAGGACATCACAGGGCACGAATCCTCTCTTTTTCCCACTGGCTACTCTGATGAAGCCATTGTGTTCATCCTCACCACTGACACAAATCTGAAAGTGTGTCGATACAGCAGCATTATCAAGCTGTTTGTGGTGAGAATCCAAGTTGGAAATGATAAGAGGCTACTCACTTGTCCCTCCTTCAGGGTGATCTGCCCTTGCTCCTTACTGCCAATAAAGGTTCGGTTACATCTGAACACCCTGTCGCCCGCCCTCACCTGATGCGCAAAGGATGCTGGGAAATAACCTATTCTATCTTCAATCACACCCTGGAATTGTTAGCAAAATACACGAGAACAACAATCTAAACCCACAGTCACTCACCTTATACTGTCAATAATTTAGACATAAATGTTAGTCTGTTTCTCACACAAAGCTATCACAGAGCATCAAACTTTGGACTGGAATATAGCACACATGTACCATAAAAATACATATAGACTTCATTTATTTTTTATGGTGCTTTTGTGTCCTTTTTAAGCTTGAAAGCTTCAGTCCTCGTGAAACTGTAAATGCTTGGAGAAGAGCACTGAAAACGGTTTTCACATTTTCTCCTTTTGACTAGTCCCTAAGAATTTCTATGTATTCAGTTTTTAAATATTTGAAAATAACCAACCAAATATCAAGTTGGCCATGTACTGGTGGTGAACTCCATAATAAATAGTATTATGGCTCTATTAAAATGACATAATGTAGATTAATGTATTGCTTTTTATGTATTTGTGAGCTTTGCCCAGATTTTTTCCCCGATTTACAGTTTGGAGGAGTCAATGCTGGTTGCTCAAAGTCAGAGCCAGTCTGCAGATTTTCTAGCTTCAGACTATAGTATTGTTCAGATTGTCAGTCCAAATCCGATTTTTGAATCTTATTTAGCAAGTATGAACACCAAAGAATAAAAATCAAGATCCGTTTCAGTCTGACCGCTCAGATCAGATTTTGAGCAGCTTTTTTGCCTATGTGACTTTCTCGTGCAGTGTAAAACGTAAACACATCAGATGTTGTTTGTAGAAAACATGCTGAATGGCCTTGCAGAAACAAGGTTTTGTTGTTGCGAAGTGCAGGTCAAGCAGAAAATGACAATATACTGATGGTCTACACACCTCTTTGAGCTGACAGACAGCAGCATGGAATAAAGCCGCACATTCCAGCTTCCTACGTTTCTGCTGCTGCCTCATAAAACGTAATATAATCCAGTGCGATGGCATCATGTTGTCATGTTGTAAGACAACATCTGTATTACAAACTGAATTGCTGTTATTGTTGTTATTAGCATAGCCATAACAACACAACATCATTGCTACAGAAATCAATGCAGATATTAAAACGAAAGAGCACCACGGGATACACAAATCATATCTGAACAGCTGCGATACAAAGTGTGGACAGTCAATCAATTAACTCGGATTCACAAAAACAGGATATGGACTGACAGTCTGAACAAGGCTAAAATATTCCATCCAGTCAGAGGATATCAAATATGTTCTATATCTTTCAACCAACACTTGTTTTTACAGAACATTCATTTTTGCATGAGTTTGTTGTGTTCTGAACAACTTTAAAGTCTGGTAATGTGTGATCCTCAGTCATTTAGTACGGTATATGATGCCCAGTTTTTATCTGTAACCATCTGCAAAGTCGGCAAGTGTATAATACCTAGTAAAATCAGTTCAGATTTTAAAAGTCGTTTAAATGTTTCCAGTCTTTAGTTATGTAGAATGTCACATTTTGGAGACAATCAAGGTTAAACCATTAAAGTCTTTTTTCATCAAACATTCTGCAAATGTGTAATAATTGTACCTTCCACCAGTCATCATTGGAATCATCTGCCAGGATTATTCGATCTCCAGGTCTGTAGGGAGAAAGGAACGCATTAGGACAGACATTAAGACATAACATCCCCTTTCAATAGAAGGAAATTAATTTTGGAATCCATTTATGATCAAAAGCTTTGATGAGGCTGTACTGAAATTTTGTGATAGCTTCATTCCATTACATAAGGCCGGAATGAAACTGCACATGTAAAGGGATTCAAAGTCAACAGTCATCTGCAGTCTCAGCTTCCTGCGGAGGTTCTGAGAATCAGACCTGAACCAAAAGAAATGAAAGTGCTACTATGTGAGTGATTGTAAAGAGAAATGTGTGTGCAATCAGAATCAGTCTCAGCAGGGACAATAACACAGCAGTCACAATCAAAGTACCAGACCAAGTTGTACAAACTCTATAAATTTAACCTCTGGGAGATCCACAGGTTTAAATGTTCATGGACTTTTAACTTTATAATACTATACGTTTATAGCACTGTATGTCTAAGTCCACATTCAGCCTGTTATGAAGAACCTAAACAGCCTGCATTTATTGCAAAGAGTTACATTCGTAATACTGTGCACCATTCACTTTCATTCATTTATCATTATTATCGGTTTATTACTAAAATAGAAGCCCTGTCCTATTGCCATATTTGTAGCAAAAGCTGAAGCAAGTTTGACTGCACCTTAATCACAAGGTCAGCATCTAAACTTTTAAAACATTTTGCCATCAATATTCATGTTTATACAAGAGCGTGCTTGTAGGTAAGCACACAGTATGTGTTCTGCATATTAACCATTATACCAGGATATTGCCCAGCAGACAGCAAAGTGCTTTGCCATGACAACTAATTGAGCGGGAAAAGGGAAATGACCACATAATACAGGTGTGAAGACTCAAATCAGCCGTGACACTGAATAACTCAGTGTGTGTGTGTGTGTGTGTGTGTGTGTGTGTGTGTATTCCTTATAGCTGTTACTAAATAAAATACTAGTATCTGCTGTTGATACCACAAAATAAATATAGAAAAGGAATAAAACAGCAGCTAAAAATGTATTCATCTCACCTCATTTCTAGGTCTTGGTTATCTTGGGGGGTAAATTCAAACAAAGCCACATAAGTATTGAGCTGCAGAGGGTCCCTCTTCAGCTCTCTGTTTGACTACAGTTTAAACACACAGGGACATAAACAGGAAGAGACTATTACAAATTACATCACAAATCAACAGAAATTCTTCTGAAAATGTGTGCAGGGGAGAGCGGGGCTAGTTACTCTCTTTACAGTGAATATTTCTCAGTCTGATATAAATACAAGCCTTTATGTAAAAAATAGAATTCAGAAGCCAGGAAGATAGAGTTATAGTTAAAGATTGATTCCACAATCCAAACATTACTAGGATTTAAATATTGGCTAAGGTTGGGGTGTTACTTAAATAGGACTTTTTCCACCAGCTCCTGGGAAACTGTGAGTGCAAGCAGGCGCACACACACTCAACTGGCCTAAGAATAGTTCAGAGGTGATTAAATCCTGACTCAGAATCATGTGTGAATGAAGTGAAGCTAGCTGCCTCATATCAATGTCAGAAAGAATCGACACAACACAATTAAAATTCTGACTAAGCATCATTATAAAAAGCATCATTTTCCTCAGGCCTGAAATATCATGACCTCTGTCTCAAGCACTGGTGCTACACAGCAGAAATCTCCAAAAAAAGTTTATTTTAAGAAGGAAACAAACAAGAGACACCAGGACTAGTTGTTAAGACTTCTGTCTAAAAGCTCAGTAGCTGTAAGGTTTTTAGTTAGTAATATTATGAAAAATGATTCACATTTAAAATAACTGTTTTCTATTTTAATATATTTTAAAATGCAATTTATTCCTTTTGAAGGAAAAATTAATTTTTCTTATTTAACATTTCTATTTACACTGAAAACAGTTATTCCGCTTAATAGTTTTGTTGAAACTGTGGCATTTTTTCAGGATTCTTTGATAAATAAAAAGCTCAAAAGAACAACATTTATTTGAAATAGAAATCTTTTGTAATAATAAAAAAACTTTACTGTAAATTTAATGCATCCTTACTTTACTAAATAAATAATTTCTTAAAGGGGTCATGACATGTCTTTCTTTGTCTTTGGAGTGTTACAAGCTGTTTGTGCATATAGATAAGATCCATAAAGTAGGGCTGGAAGATATGGCCAGAATTTATATCACGGTATATTTCTTAATTTCGGTCGATACAATATAATTCCGATATCGATATGAACACAATTTAAAAAAAGCCTCATAAAAACTGCCAAGAACACCCACAACAGATGTCTATACCTATAAACTTATGAAAAATGAATTTGCCAAGTCGAGACTTCCTCCTATAAAACTATATAATATTTTAGAAAAAACCCAGCACAAATAAATTAATGTTCACCTTTTATTTGTATTTAGCCTACATACAAACAAGAAATGTGAAATCACTGTCAAATAAACATCTCAAACTCACCTTATTAATATTAAAGGGGTCATATGATGCGATTTCAATTTTTCTCAGACCGATGAGCTTTGTAAAAATCGACGCGTTTCAAAAAGGCGGGGCATAGAGGAGAAACAATAATGTACAGTATGTGGAAAATAATGTGTTTTTTTAACTTTAAACTGCATAAACACATTTCATTACACCAAATACACCAAATAATGTTCTTTTTAGCAGCATCATATGACCCCTTTAATATCTTTAACTTTAAACTATAGGCTAACATACACTACCAGTCAAAAGTTTTTGAACGGTAATATTTTTAATGTTTTTTTAAAGAATTCTCTTCTGCTGACCAAGCCTGCATTTATTTAATCCAAAATACAGCAAAAACAGTAACATTTTGAAATATTTTTACTATTTAAAATAACTGTTTTCTATTTGAAAATATTTTAGCATGTAATTTATTCCTGTGATTTCCAAGCTGAATATTTAGCATCATTACTCCAGTCACATGATCCTTCAGAAATCATTCTAATAGTAAAATTTCATAGTAATATTTAAAAAATGTTTACTGTTTTTGCTTTATTTTGGATCAAATAAATGCAGGCTTGGTGAGCAGAAGAGAATTCTTTACAAAATCTTACTGTTCAAAAACTTTTGACTGGTAGTGTAGGCTGATTATTCTTATAGATTTAAACAAATGTGCTTCAGCCAGGATAAAGAACATGAAAAGTGCTCCGAGTTGCTGCAGAAAAAAATTAATTAAAAAAAGAGCAACAACAAAAACATGTTGCTGGAGACGGGCTTATTGAATATGTAAATTCATTCTCTGCCAGCAGGAGGCGCTTTGAGAGCAGTAGAAACAGCGGTTTCCCCAGTAACGGCTGTAAACAAAGCAGCTCCGCTCATGAACGCTACTTTATCAGATAAAATGAAAATGCCATTGAAACTTTTCTGAAGACAGTCGGTTCCCTTTCAGAGATACATTCATATAAAACACTCGCGCCACGTTTTGATTTTGAAACGTTCAGTGTTCATGTTTATTCAACGAAGTAAAACGCCACAACTAAATCAATGTATGGGAAGAACTGGTAATGTATATCGAAATATTGGAAATGTGTTTAAAAATCATATCACCGTAATTAAAAAAAAATTAAATAAATTATAAAACGGACAGTGCCGGTCCTTGATTCTGATTGGCTGAGCCACGTTTGATTACTCTACAAACATACACCTTTGTTTACGTTTGTGTGTTGCTCGGCAACCACTTTGTTTCAACCACAACTGATTCTGAGGAACTACATTGTTTGGTGGAAGAATAATGTTTTTATTAATATCATCACACTTTATTTGCTCTGTTTTATTTTGTGAAACCTTACTACGTTTATGGAATAACCATTTTATAAAAGCAGTAAGCCCCGTGAAGCTGTGGTTTACAGTGAATTTATAACAGCTAAGGTTTTTTTGTTTTGTTTTAACAACACCCCTTAGCTGTTATAAATTCACTGTAAACCATGGCTTCTTGGGGCTTATTGCTTTAATCGATATTAATATCAATACATATTGATATTGAATTATTGTCCAGCCCTACCGTAAAGTCGCAAAGTTTAAAGTCTCAAACCCAAAGATATATTATTTCTAAAAGTTAAGACTCATCCACGCCTTTCTAAAATGCCTCATTCAAACAACGTCATACATCAACGTCATTTAGAAACTTCATATGAACCCTTTAATTTTATTTGACCATTACTGCACCTCATAATAGTTTTACTGTTTAATTCTGCTAAACTAACCAGATATACAGTAGTGTGACAACATGCCCGCCAAGACAATGTGTGTTCAATTAACTATACTTTTTTTTCCCTAGAGAATAACAGTGCGAAAGTTCAACATCTTCGTGGTAGCAACATTTTTAGGTGCCTACACTGACCCATAGACACAGGACAATGGCTTAATAAACATTATGAATCTTATACCAAGTGTTACAAAGAGAGATGTTATGATGCTTACAGGTGATTCTTCTGATTTCCTTTCAGCAATATGAAAATGTTCTGTTCCATTCTCCAGGGGCGTAAAAACTAAAACACACAACACAAGAAAAAGCAATGAGTAAAAACTGTTGATCGTGACAGAATAAACCTTGCATGAGGTTAAATGAATGATGCAGTTGTAGTGGGTCATTGTTCAGAGTGGTGGACTGATTACCCAAAAATACTAGAGTTTCTCGGTCATGCTGGCACCTATGTGGCACCAGAGAATAAGTTTCTGTCTCTCTTCCCAGCGCACATAGTCATGGGCACATAAATTCACTGAAGCTGGGGTCAGTCTGTGATGAACCAGAGACCACCCTGATCAAGGCCATTCATCTCCCTGATACTATCACAGTCCGTCCAATACGGTGTATTATGTTATATAAAGCGCTAATGAGTTTCAACAATGTGTCTGATCAGAAGCTAGCAGTTTGGAGTTAAAAGGAGGATTGTGGGATAGAAGATCAGATTCACATGAGCTGTTTCTGTTGGGTCAGTTTTATCATAGGTGGGGTTATTTTAGTCATACTTTAACAATAAATAGTGCTTATAAATTAATATTAAATTTATTTGATTAGGAAATTGTAGAATTTAATTATTGAATATAATTATTTTATTATGAATCTTTTTTTACATTTGTAATTTCTATCCTTATTTAGGACTTTTTGTTTTTACATAACACGAACAGGGATCTTACCGTTGTCACTGGGTTTCCTGGTGAGTTGAGCTCGACTGCTGTGGGCCGTCTTTTCTTCTGCCACCTGAGCCACGTCACTGGTCTGAGCAAATGATAACAACACATAAATTCTCTCACATACACGTCCTAAGAAACGTCTTTGTCTGATAAACATGAAAAGATTAATATTAACTGCTTATTATTCAGAGATTTACATCTATTAAATGCCATACAAACTTATCTTTCTTTTGCAAATAATTTGATTTATTTCATCCTGGCTTCATTCTGTCATGTTGTGCCCTCTGTCTTTTCTCTCTCTCTTTCATCTTATTCTCTCCCTTTTTTGGTCATATTTGCTTTAGAGAGGCATTATCTGAAGCTGACCATCACTTCCTTCCAGGGTGTGTGTGTGCCTGTGTTTGTTTCAAGCAGTAAAACATTACATCTGGGCCCCTTAGATTCCCTTACAACCGTAGTAACTGCATATTAGATGGTTTAAACATTCACATGCATACACAGATAGAATAAATGTGAGCACAAAAAAAATAAACTTTGTATTAACGTACTACAATTGCGAATAAATGACAAGGACCAAATACGTTGCTATAAATAACATAATGGTGACAAAATTCTTGTTTTATAACAGAAACTGCATCCCCATGTTAATGACTCTAATAGAAGAACAAAAAAATGTCTTGTGTAGAGAGGAAATAATGGACCTGAATTAAGACTAGAGCAGAGAGCAGCTCAAGGAGATTAAATTGAATTGTCTTGAGTGTTTTATTGAATGAATCATAATAATCATCACCATTTTTACCACAAGCGCTTCACTCTCTGCACAAGCAGCCAAGCAGACACACATTTTAAAATCCATTATCAATCTTTTTAAAAGCCTAAACTGAAGCAGATTGCCTTCAGGTAAATGATGGATGCATGTTTACTATGACCAGTCTCTCTCTTACACACACACATACACACACACACACACACACACACACATACACATATACACTATTAGATCTATTCAAACTGCCACGTGCCCCATCAAATAAAATTGTATGCAACTTCCAAAAAATATATATTAATTGAATATTTGAAAATTCTGTTCACAAAAACATTTGTTTACATCACTGTTTAAAATTATATTTTAAATGATTAACTTAGAAACACTAATTGGAGTAATGCATTTTTTAAAAGGTATGAAAAATGTGACAGTACTGAACAAGTGTTTCTTACAGAGTTTCTCTGTGGTGACTCTGATCCACTGGTCCGCTTGGTCTTTTGTGCCAGAGAGGTTCCAAATCTCAGAGTCTCATACACCGGGTCAACTTTACTGCCACAGGCTAGGACAAAAGACATGTCAAAATACTACAAAATATCAGTGAACAAGATATTCAAGCTGGTGATGCTATGGCATATTGTGCAGAAGTAAAATAATAAATAAATGTTGCATGTTGCTCACCAATAGGCATCACCTCCCTAATGCAGCCAAACTGTTCCTGAATCAGCAGAGGGGAGCTAGAGTATCTCCGGAAACCTTTGGGCTGCAATCACACAAACAGGATCAGTGGATTTCATTGTTTTATTCATTTACTTTTCTATACCCAGAATTGATTTTCATGGGCATTTTTTGTAACCTCAATGGGAGTATGTAAAACATAAAACAGATAAAACACTATCTATTTATGCAAAAGAAATACAAGTACATTTAAATAATTTAAAATGTAAAATTAATTATTTTTTTTAAATTACAAATTTAAAGGCACAATATGTAAGATTTTTTTTATTAAAATATCCAAAAACCACTAGAACAGTGTTATATATTTTGCTGACTTGTGTACTTACATTATCCCAAATGTTTCGAAGAATGTTTAAATCCAGAGAAATAAGCAATTTTAACTAGTGGCACGGACCGTGTCCATAGTGTCATTGTGTCGCCTGCCAATGACGTCATAACCCCTCGATTTAATTTCTGTTTTTTGTTTTTTTTTATATTAGTGTTATAGGCTATTCCATCCCTACTGTGTTATTCCTATGTATGTCTGCACTATGTTTGTACTTTCTTCTGCACAGGAAGCTTCTGTCGTCAAGTCAAATTCCTTGTGTGTGTAAACATACTTGTTAATAAGGCTCTTCTGATTCTGATTCTAAATAAGGGAATCAAATATTTAAAACACTAGTTATTCTCAATCTGAACAATTTTAGCTGTTTATTATCATGAAATAAAACTAACATCAAATACAAATGCAAAATAAACAAGATATGTTTTTTACTTTCATTGGCACTTTAGGCTTAAATAAATAAAGTTTCATGTTAAGTGCCTCTCTTTGTTTAATCTCAGCTAGCATGCCGCGATTTCAAGACGATTCTAACCGAAAGGAGTGAGAATCACACCTGACAAAAGCTTCAGACAGACTCAATATCATAATAAATTTAATGTGTTTTTTTGGCCATTGCAATTCATACAGATTGTGTCATTAGACTGTTTTGCCATTCTAACACTGTTAATACAGAGATGAAACAGTGTTTGAACTAATATGTCAGATTAATTTCAAACTGGCTGTTGCAGTTAATTGATTCAAAAGTCTCATTTAACAATTCATTTGCATCATCACTCAAAAATGTCTATGAACATCTTGGCATCTATTAAAGTGCTTTAGCAATAATAGTACATAAATAGTTCGTAAATATTGCTGTTCATTATGTATTGTCATTGGTGCATAATATAAATGAAAATTATTAAATACAACTCTTCATGTGTTAATTTTATAAAGAACTGTGTGGAAAAACATGCTGTGATTATTATTAGATGATGTTTTGGTTCCTATGAGCCATTTAATAGCAAATACATATATACTGAATATGTATCAAATATCATCAAGCAACTGAAAAATATTGAGGTATAATTTTACCTATACATTTCTCAGCCCTATACACTAGTATATACACTTGTCCCTAGTTGTGTTCTCATGTAAGGTGTCCTGTTTAACTGCTGCATTACTAGTGCATATTTGATTCATGTCTGGTTAAACTGCTGTTTTGTCATGACCTAAAAGGATAACAACACTTTAATGATTAATGCATTATCAGTCTGATAGCAGTCAATAAGTTCATATAAATGACTGGTAATGAGGCAAATGATTTTATACCTTTAAGATATATTTACACTGGGATTCAGTGGTTCAAATCAATAAAAAACAAGCTCCTATGGCTTAATTAGCATTCAGTAGCACACATACACACAGCCCTAAGAAAGAAGCCGAGCTCACTATGCCCTTATTTGTATTTGTTGTGCTGAGTCCAGGCAGGGTGTCTACGCCATCAGCATCACAAATCTGCTTTGAAGACTTCTTCGTTAGGTTGGGGACTAATTTAAGTACCACTCGAACCCAAAGAGAAGCTCTCTAGTGCTACTACGTCACATTTCTCCAAGAGCTCACTGGGGAAGCGTGTAAAGAGGAATGTTCAATCTTGAAGTAGATGCTGTTAAATGCATTTAACAAGAGTGCACCATGTCTGCGAGCGCCCTAAAATACCAAAGTGACTCAACTGAAAAACTTTCATGTGATTAATTTGCTTAACCAACTAAAAGAACAATAATAGCTACACCATGCGATGTTCACTTGAACATAATGGGAGTTGTAATGGTTGACTAACAATCAGGACTCAGCTCATGTCATGCTGGTAGTAAAGCACTCTTTTCTGAAAAGCACTCGTAGCTCAATGGTTCTCACTGATCAGACAAGCCAAGAGAAATAAACAGAGTTTAAAAATAGCAACTTGTCCACTTTAGAGCAAAAGTGGAATTAGAGTCGAATCCTGTGGGGAGTTGTTCTCTTTTTAATCCTGATCCCCCACAGCTATATTTTCCATCTGTGAGAGCCCACTACATCATCGGGAGACTTGTTGTCTCAACCCACCAAACGGTTTGAAGCACAAGCACAGCATTTTTTTCCACTTCCTACGGTGCCCGTAAGGTGACATGTTCGGTTCACTTAGTTTTGTCATGGCCACGACATCATAACTCGTGGGAACGTGATAATATGTCGTGGCCATGAGATATTAATTTGAGGGAACGTCATATTAACTCGTGGGAATATGATATTATGTCGTGGCCATGAGATCATTTTGTCGAGGTAACTCGTGGCCACGAGAAAAATATGTGTTCCCTCAACATAGAAGTCGTGGCCACGAGAAATGGATGTCGTTCCCTCAACATAGCATCTCGAGGCCATGACTTCTTATGTTGAGGGAACACACATTTTTCTCGTGGCCACGAGTTTAATGCGTAAACAAACCTGCGTGACCATAGCAACCCGGGATAATCAGAGATGGATTCATTAAAGGGGTCATATGATGCTATTTTAAAGATCATTTAAGCATATATAACAATAAATATAAAAATATAGCCCTAATAAGTTAATGTAATAATAATACAAATAATAATATACAAATATTAAATTAAATGTTTAATGTTAATAAAAATGTTTTATCTATTTTTGATAATCCCAGGTTGTTATGGTCACGCAGGTTTGTTTACGCATTAAACTCATGGCCACGAGAAATGGATGTCGTTCCCTCAACATAGCATTTCGAGGCCACGACATAAGGATGTCATTACCTCGACAAAATGATCTCTTGGCCACGACATAATATCACGTTCCCACGAGTTAATATGACGTTCCCTCAAATTAATATCTCGTGGCCACGACATAATATTACGTTCCCACGAGTTAATATGATGTTCCCTCAAATAAATATCTCGTGGCCACGACAAAACTAAGTGAACCGAACATGTCACCTTACAGGCACCGTAACTTCCTGTGTTGATGATCTCATACTATAGTACTAGAATCAAAAGTGCTGGGTTCTAAGAATAAAAAACACTGGTCAAAGGCCATTCTACCCATAGCTCTTGTGTTTTTTTCTTTCAAAAATTAATAAAAGATAATAAAATGCACATTAGAATGATTTCTGAAGGATCATGTGATATAAGTAAAATTTCAAATATATTAAAAAGTTAAGTTATTTTAAACTGTAATAACATTTCACAATTACAGTTTCACAGTTTTTTTTTTAAATGCAAGCAATTAAAAAAAAAACTTACAGACCCCAAACTTTTGAACAGTAGTTGAGTGTGTATATAAAGGGGTCATGACATGATGAGAAATCAAATTTGTCTTGATCGTTTGGCATATAAGAGGTCTTTGTACCATTAAAACATCCTGCAAGTTTCATCGCTTAAAACTTCCTACTCATTTTAAACAAAGCATTTAATTAATCAAGCTTCATCGGATCTGAGAGGGCATGGTGACATCACAAGGGCACAAACATTTGCATAAACAACGCCTTCAGAGCAAGACATTCTCACCATAGGCCCCGCCCACTGGCATTCAGTCTCTTAACGGCTTGACACTTAATTATGCTGAATGCGAGTGTTCATGTCTTTGTATAGATATCAGAAGGATCCCAGCGTAAGGAACAAGTGGATAGTAAAGACACTATAAGACACTATACTATAAAAAGCACCGTCCTTCAGATGAGACGTTAAATCGAGGTCCTGGCTCTCTGTGGTCATTAAAAATCCCAGGATGTCCTTCGAAAAAGAGTAGGGGTGTAACCCCGGCATCCTGGCCAAATTTGCCCATTGGCCTCTGACCATCATGGCCTCCTAATCAGCCACATACACTGATTGGCTTCATCACTCTGTCTCCTCTCCACCAACAAGCTAGTGTGTGGTGGGCATTCTGGCGCAATATGGCTGCCGTCGCATCATCCAGGTGGATGCTGCACACTGGTGGTGGTTGAGGAGATTCCCCCCTTTCATGTAAAGCGCTTTGAGTACCCAGAAAAGCGCTATATAAATGTAACGAATTATTATTATTATTATAGTTTATTTTTAATGGTACCCCGGATCGTGTCAGAGGATTGATCACAGCATTTTGTTTTGTAAACAAGGCACAGTGTCATGGAGAGTTCACAAAGAAACATTTGTTGAAAGATGAAGTGGTACTAGATCTGACTACAGCTGCATCACAAACTGAAGCTGTGGGATTTAGTTATTAAGAAATATATGCTTGAACTTTTCAGTTTCAAAGCTATTTTATTGAGAAATCACAGAACTGTGTTGACAATATATTTCCGCGCTGAATGATTCTGTGTGCGCGCGATCTGCACGTGATGTACGAACTACTGTCTGTAATGTATGTGCATTACAGTGCAGCAGCACATTAGATTAGAACGGCGATTAACTTACCTGTACAATAAGCTGTTTAAAACGTGCATTCTCCCGTTCAATTTCGAGCATCCAGTAATATAATCTCACATCAGAGTATGCATTTATTTGACATTTTAACTGTTTGGAAACGGAGCGTAAATGTGGAAGTCCTTCAAAGATTTCTTATCCTGTTGCGCCCTCTATAGGACCAGTGACTAGCCGACGTCAAACTTAAAGCGTCATGGCAGAGCATTGAAGTCGACTAGTCGATTAGTCGGTGCAACCCCTACAAACCACAAGTAAATGATTTCATAATGCATTGACTGGAAATGACCATTTTATTTTGATCATGTTTTTAAAACACTCACATGCAATAGTGAGGGGGCAGGGCATTGATACTATGCAATGACATCAGCCAATCATAACATTGGCTGATTACTGAGAAGCCTTAAAGGACACGCCCCTTAAAAACAGGTCATTTCAAACAGAGGGTCAGAATGAGGGTTGAAAATAATAATTTTTCCACGTTTATTTGTTTTTTTTGTGCAAAAAACTGAACTTGTTCTCAAGGTCACTCAATCCTTCTCTGAGAAACCTGACTCACTCCAGTACTGCACTGAAGCCATGGGAAAAGCAATGGAAATTTTAGCACTCTTTTCCCATTTGGACATTTTTTTCCCTGTGTGTGGGGGGGGCGTGTGAATTTCCCAGAAGAGTCGTGACTTGTGGGTCCCCTGAGTAAAGCACAGAGGTGTTTACATGATAGATGCATCTTGATATTCTGTATCAACTATCTCATCTTTCTTCTCTCTCACTTTCTCTAGTACACACCGGAGAATCATTAACATTCATACTCACACATAAATTCACGGAAGGAAAAGACAGACTGATGAATCACACCTTCAAATCACCAAAAATAACACTGTGAAGAGTATCATATCTTAACACTCACACACTAAAAATCTTCACCTACTGCCAGAGAGGAACACCAGGAAAGTGATATTGCAAATTATAAGTATGGACTTGGTTTCTCCATCAGTGGAGACCGGAGAAGTGTGTTTTCATTGCTACACTATCTGTTATGTCATGTCTTAATAAGCCTCTTCATACAATAAACAAACATTGGCCAACCTGATCAACAAATGAACATAAACACTGAATACATGTTTAGTTCCACATTCAATTTCCAAGAGTAATCAAATATCAACAAAAACTAACAAAGTGAGGGAAAAAACACTCAATTCACATAAAGTAAAAAAATATCTCACCAATTTCCCCATGCATCTCTGCTGTCCAACTCGATCCAGGCACTTGTTGTGGATGCCCATCTTGCAGGCTTTGCACCGGAGGCCCAGCTTAGCATTGGTGCCTAGCAGTTGAGGTCAAATTCAGTTAATATCAGGTTTAAATGTCTTCTGAGAGCAAACTTATTAAACATAAAATTTATTTGTACAAAGCAATGTTATATTACTGCTAAACAACAGAAAGTGATCAATAAATACAGCCAGGTCAGAGTTGGGAATTTCCACGTGTGCAGTTTTGTTGGGAAATTCTGTTATCAAGAGCAATAGTTTGTTTATTATCATCCACAATTAATTCTTAATTAGCAGTTTAACATGAAATTCCATATAATTCTGTCAGAAGTTCTCACTGAAGGGTTAAAATATTAAACACTCTTAAAAATAAATGTTCCAAAAGTGCACTTTTTTTCTCAGTGTGAAGAACATTCAAGTAATCTAAAGATTGTTTTCCCACTAGAAAGATCCTTTTACACAATGGAAAGGTTTAATGGATTTTGAAGGTTCTTCATGGAACCAAAGATGCCAATAAAGAACATTTATTTTTAAGAGTGTAGGGGAGCAATTCTGCAAGTGTTCAGGTTGCTGGTCATCATTCTGGCCTACATTTCTTTTGCCTAAAAAGAAGATCCCTTATAAGAAGATCATTAAATTATGGCTTCACAGTCCCAGAAACACTTGCAGAATTCACACTTATTGGTAGTACTGGAAACAGGAAAATGCAGGTGTTAATGCTAAGCTGAACAGAAACAGCTGAAGACAAACGAGAGCAAAGCGTACAATTTGAGAACAAATGTACAAGAAACCATCCAATAAAACAGCACTCTTATTCTCAAACAAAAATCCTACTCTTATATTTGCTCAGTTTCACAATTTGATATCCCCACACCTGATGCTCAGAACATGCATTCAGAGACACGGTTTTATTGATTTAGACACTTGGAGGAAGGAAGAACTACAGAAGGAAGCTATACATGTATACTTTGCCTGATATCGATATTTGTACATAACATTTGTGTTCACTTGAAAGCAGAGAATGTAGATCTCCACCACAGAAGTCACAATGTGCAAGCTGTAAAACTCTTAAGGTTCTGTCAATCAAACTGCAAACAAAATGTAAACAAAATGCTAAAATAAATTCACCAAGAGCATGTTATAACATCCATTTTCTGCTTCTTCCAGTAACAACACTCTTGTGCCATAAAATAATAATAAAAACATTCTTTAATCCATAGATGCCTCTGACTCCTCCCATTATGATAACTCAGGGTGAACTCAGGGTAAAATTACGTTTCTTTCTTACAGATAGAGCTGAATGTTTCGTTAACCAAAATAAACAGCTTTTCCCATGGCAAATTATGCAACACTTTAATGCATGCTTCTTTGGATGATCTTTGGGTAATGGAGAATTAATCAGGCCTAATTGCTTTCAGAAATTAAAAAACTGCCTCTGTGCAGGATAAACATAAACAGATTTTATTGTGGTGAGACAATAAATACTAATTACTGAAATTATAGTGTGTTAAAGTCACGTTTCCAGCTGCTTCCCAAGAGCGAGCAGCACTTTATTGAGATTAAAGCCACCTACTGGTAAAAACCTCTGTGTCTTCCACTATATCCAAGCACACAAAATAGACACTTTCATTAACTTTAAACCACCAGAACAAAGTAGACCATCATCTACAGTATATAACAACAGCATGCATAACAAAGCTCTGGAAAACAGCAGACACAGAATAACATAATCCATATTCCTGTGACAGTAATGAGAAACAACAACAACAAAAAACAATCCCATCACAGAATAAGGGTATTGATATTGACCGCTCTGGGGAAAAATTCTATTAAGCATTGGTCTGGAAAGCATATGAGGAGCCACTTCATCATATGCATTTCCTGAGAGTGCTGAACAAGTCTTTATGAGCGCAGAAGCAGGGAGAGGGTGGGTTGGGGTTGGAGGTGGGTGAAGGGAGTTATCTATTTTCATTCGGTTTCTAAAGAGTTCAATTCATCATCAAACAGAACAGACTTACCGAACACCTTGCCTGCTCCCCCTTGGCAAGCTAAAAAAATTACAGGAGAGAATCCCTCTTGCATTACAATTATTTCTTGAAATATAAAAATAAAATGGTGGTCAAACAAGGCAACACGGCATTAGTTACAGCTCATTCAAGGTTTCCAGATATTGATTTTTCAAAACATGTATCTCTGAACACTTCGATGTAATAGCCTTTAAAGGATTGTTCACCCAAATTCTGTCATCATTTACACACCCAGGTCATTCCTAAGCTTTATGACTTTCTTCTGTGGAACACAAAAGAAGATATTTTTGAAAAGTGTGTGGTTTTTTGTCCATTCAATGAAAGTTAATGGGATCTAAATCTGACCTTTCATTATGGACAAAAAAAGAAAGAAAGAAAGAAAAAGATATTTTGAGAAATAGCTTCTTTTATGTTCTCTCATGTTTGGCTAAAGCAGAATATCTTCTGCAGAAGAAAGAAAGAAAATGCGTACATGATGACAGAGTTTACATTTTGGGTGAAATATCCTTTTAACTACACAAGATCAAAGAATAGAAAAGAATATATTTCCTCTTTTGGAGTGACTTTAAGATTTAAAATGATAAATGAAAATTTTGTTTTGAATAATAAAATATGAATGTGGAATGATTAATAGGGTGAAAACATCAGGTCCCGCTGTTGTGAGAATGACTCTGTCACAGGGCTCATTTGCCCCTGTCTGCTACATCAAGCTGCTTCCAGCCATCCATCGATTAATCAAACATCACATGCTCGGTCCAGACTCTCTTATGCCTCCCTGTGCTGATCACTTCAGCCTTTGAAAAAAATCTTTAATGCATCATTAATGTGTTTAATGATTGAGTATTTATGTGTTGAGTACTTTGTCTTGGGTTGAGAGGTGATGCAGGGCAGAACAATTATAATGAAAACGACTCAGATCTAGTTCAGGCCAAGTTTCAGTAAAATGCCTGAAAGTGATATTAGAATATTTGATCAAAGTCATAAAATGTTTGGTCTTCATTTTTGACTTGTGTGCCCTAAGGGAAAAAGAGGAAAATGATTTCATAATTCACCAACACTCGCAAAAGCTGCATGATATGTTCTGTGGACTTAATTTCAATGTTGTTAATGTCATCAGATGCCCAATGGGATGAGAATCCACCCACACAGACAGCCAACCATATTCCCAATATGCTAAGCCTCCTTTTATACTTTGAAAAACAGCATGGCTTCTGTGTCTTTAGAAATAGATGCCTCTGCTTTAGCCAAACATGAGAGAACATCAGCATGAAAAACGTGTTACTCTCCGATCCAGAAAACGCTTTGTAAATTGCTGACTGAAATTTTGAAATGAGCTCAATACGAAGTATTAATAATACAGAACACACTTGTTAAATTTTCATTCGGAATGAAATGCACGGTCAGTTCATGGTGAGTAAATATCTTTACAGCTGCACAACTGACCATTAAAACATTTCTTAAATTCCTTTAGTTTTTACCCACACAGCTAAGTGGGTGTTTAGTGGGAGCCTTTTGGAAGGGACACATTTTACACAGACTCTCTACTTAATTTGTACACTAAAATTGTTCAACAGCGAAAAGACATGAAACCAAAAGAATTACGTCATTTTTGTAATTTTTGTAAAATACTTTTTTTTGCTTAACTGGAAATGGTCACCAATAAGAAAAATATTCGGTAAGCAACCTCCTTAAAGAAAATTAACTTTAGTAAAACTAAAAACTACAATTGTTGGTTGTAGTGGTTGTGATTTTTTATTTTATTTTATTATTGTTTTGTATATGTATATAAAATATGTATAATTTTCACAAAATAAATACTGAAATGGTTTATGTTTATTTTACTGTTAAATATATATTGATTTCTATTTTATGGTGGATTTTCATGTTTAAGATTAAAAGTCTGGGAGAGTCTCAGAGACTAGAGTTAAACAATAAAATCTACACATAATAGGCAAAAAATATTAAAAAGTTAAAGTAAAAAAGGTATATAATCAAAAATAAATGATGGCATGATTAAAAAAAAAAACTCTGGGTCATAAAAGTGGCCCAAGTTGAAGCAAGCAAGCGACCAAGTTAGTAATTAAATAAGTAAATAAATCAATAAATAAATACATAAACTTTTAACCACAGGAAAAAAAACCTCTTTAACTCTGAACTGGAATCTAAGCAACATAGCAACAGGTCAATTTAGTTATCTGTATCTTTGGCTCAAATACCCCATTCACCACACCACTGGCTATCACAAACGAGCATGGAAAACAAAGGCACGTGATGCTGAAACCCAGTTAATTCTGGTGCCCTGATATCCTGATATCTGATCCAAATGCAGAGATTTGGGTCAACGGCACGTGGGCTCATATTTAATCAACCTGTGGAGATTTGGGTCACACACAGGTGTCCTGACATCCGATCCATATGCGGAGATTTCACGGTTTGTTATTTAGTAATGACCCATTAGTCACAGCAGGAAATTGAGACTCGACACACAAGCAAAAGAACTACAGCCTCACCTCGCTATTTCTTCCAGACAGCTGGTGAGATCTCCTCAAATTCACCTTCCTGCATGGCAATAATCAGAATGCTGTGGGATAATGAGCCGACAGACCATTCCTCATCTAATTTTTAGATGTGACGTGACGTGACGTGACATGTGGCCAAGTATGGTGACCCGTACTCGGAATTAGTGCTCTGCATTTACCCATCCAAAGTGCACACACACAGCAGTGAACACACACACACCGTGAACACACACCCGGAGCAGTGGGCAGCCATTTTTTTTTATGCTGCGGCGCCCGGGGAGCAGTTGGGGTTCGGTGCCTTGCTCAAGGGCACCTCAGTCGTGGTATTGAAGAGTACGAGACTCGAACCCACAACCTTTGGGTTATGAGTCCGACTCTCTAACCATTAGGCCACGACTTCCCCTAATGCCGAGTAAGCTCCGGTTTCTCTACATTTAGTACAAAGCTTTGAAATGCATGATTTGGCCTCTTGATGTCCTTTTCATAAGGATGTGCCAGGATGGGATGTGGAGCCCTGCCCTCATTAGTGTGCTCTTCTGAGGGACTGTTAGTGAGGTAAAGAGGTGATGAGGCCTGACAGATCCATATGCCAGCCACAACCACACACACTCTTCTTCTCTCTCTCACACACTGTGCATTCAAAACATAAAACACTATTCAGAATATATTACAGAATAAGGCACTAATATGTGCTTTATAAATACTAATAAACAGCTAATATGCTAGTAATATTCATGCTAATAACCAACTAGTTAATAGTGAGAACTGGTCCCTAAACAGTGTGTGTGTGTGTGTTCATCCTTGTGCTATGGGTCTCTCTTTTCAAACAGGTGGACATCTGTCTGACTCACCACACAAACAAATTGAAAGCTGAGCCACAACCTTGTTGCCTTCTAGGATAAACCCACAAATACTCTAATGCAGGCTCAGCTGAGCACATATGCTTTTAAACACCACACGTACTGTAAGTAGAGCTCTTTATCTTAAAACTACCTCACTGTTTCAATTTGAAGAATTAACTCATGATTTACATTATAGAAAATCCAGTTTGGACAGATGACCCTCATGGAGGCATAAATATGGGGCATGAAGCTTTCAATCGGCGGCAGTACACCTCAGATTTATTTCTGTCTGACTACCCTTTCCAACAATAAAAATACATTTTGGTGACAGACTTTAAAAAACTCATTTAAAAACATTTTTAAAAAATCAGGAAAGAGTTGAGAGGCTTAAGGACCCCATATGTCCTATTTTGATGCACTTGTATTGAAACAGGACTTGTAGGTGGGACTTGTCCTTTTTGTTTAAATAGCCACTGCCCTGCAGAAACATATTTTGCTATAATTTTATTATAACTCAGACAAAAACGTCTAAACAGCAGCATTGAAATTGAGTCATCATTATATTTGCAGTAATTTCCAAAGAATAAAAAAACCCTTGGAGTTTATAAGATTTAAAAAAAAAAATCTGCAAAAATGCATTAAATTAGTCAAAAGTGACAGTAAAGATGTTTTATACAGAAATATTAAGCAGCACACCTCTTTTCAACACTGATAGTAATAATAAAAAAGTTTCTTTAGCACCCTATCAGCATATTAGAATGATTTCTGAAGGATCATGTGACACTGAAGACTGGAGTAATGGCTGCTGAGATTCAGCTTTGCCATCACAGGAAAAAAATACATTTTAGAATATACTAAAATACAAAACTGTATTTTAAATCGTAACAATATTTCACAATATTACTATTTTTAATAGGGATGTAACGAATCGATGTACCACGAGCCAGTTGAAAATCGATACAAATATGTAACGATTCAAATCGGTTGAGAGGTTAAATGAATGGCGATACCGTTTGGGTGGGCGTTTATATGAATGTATCTCTGAGAGTTGTTGCCTCTAATTGTAAATGGAAAGAGCAAAGCCTTGGTTTGCCTATATAAAGAGATTTCTTTTATTTATGTTATTTATTTGTTTGAGTCGGGGTTCGTTTTAAAATTTTAATTTAGTTTTGTAATGAGACATATTTCAACAATTCACATTTCAAAAGAAGTGTGCAGCATTTTGTCCAAGCAATAATAAAAGGACACCTTTTCACTTATAAATTGTCTTAAATCTATGTTTAAAAAAAAATGTGAAAAAATCGTATCGTGAAATCAGTATTGTGAATCGTATCGCATCGCGAGTTGAGTGAATCGTTACATCCCTAATTTTTACTGTATTTTTGACCAAATAAACACAGCCTTGGTGAGCATAAGAGCATTCTTTCAAAAACATTACAAAATCTTACTGACCTCAAGCCAGTGAACAGTAGTTTATATGTGCTACAAGTTATGTAAGCTTTTAGGAGTGCACTCACATATGACCTCAAATCTAATAGACATTGACTAACAGCCACAATCATTTTATTTTTATCTCATGGAGTCTTTAACTCATTACGTCGTGCCACTCTTATCTTTGTTCACCGCTCTCTAAATGCTCAAATCTTTGTGTTTTGGCGTCGTCCACAGTAACAAAACATTAGTGTCTGGTGGCCGGACAACAGATGGGTAATAGAATATTTTAGATTATGCCTTCAGTCATCTAATCTATAATCATTATGTTCGAGATCAAAATAGCCTCCCCTGTCTAAACAAGCACAAACACAGCTTTGTTCGTGCGTTTTCTCTGTAATGAGAGCTGTCGTCAGTCACATAAAGATAAAACACGTCCTCTTACCTACAATCATGTGGTTGCAGACGTCACAGAAATGGGGCTTCTTGAAGATGTGCTCTAGAAACGTGTGTGCGTTGGGGTCCGCCGGGCGCGGGGCTCGGGATGGTGAACAGATTGTGATGGGCAGATTGCCCGGGATGACGGTAGGCAGTGGAGGGGGTGGTGGAGGAAGGGACATCGTTGGGGACGCTGAGACGGACACACCGATGGTACTCAGATGACCTGTGCTGCTGCTGACATCAGAGAGCAGTTCGGTTTGAAACTTCACATCCTCGATCGGTCGTTGGAAAAAATTATCTGCACTTTTGCTGCGAAGACTCTTGGTCTTGAAGGATAGTGATCGCTTTAGCCTCTGCAACTGAAACAAACGTAAAACAAAGTACAAAATGCATCTGTTAGCATCTGATTTAGACAAATGCTCAACCCCATATGACGTAAACAGCCCCCCGGAGCATTAAACTCTGTGAGTGGGTGATTTTTGATGCTTGGCAGGTGTCAAATGAGGGCATTCTCACTGAAACAACCTCCAGATGATTATACGATCTCTCCAGCCATCATATGTTAACCTAACTCAGCAAGGCTAAAATTACAGATTATTTATGTTAATGTAACTCACTGAGCATCAAAAGGCTTAATGAAAGAGAAAAGAGGAAACGAATAGAAAGATGGGCTGTCATGTCTCTTGGTACGTAACCTCTTTGTGCGGTGCACATTACCCATGATATCAGTCATACACTGACAGCCCTCTAAATTAGCTGACAACACCCACCAGGATCATCTTTGCCTACTAAAAATGTCCTCTAGGCCACAGTAACCTGCACAACTTCCCCAAGTATACTGTGCACAGAAATGCTATTCAAATCAGAATAAAAATGAAAAGTGCCCAACACTAAAGGTTAGACAAGGGTAGTCATGCAACTCAACAAACCACATATTTAAGACTGGGAAGAGGAAAAATAATAGTTTAACAATCCTCATGTGTATATATATTGGCACACTTTATTTTAAGTTCCAATTCTCACTATTAACAAACCATTAACTACGACTTTTGTCTCAATAAACTAATTTGCTACTTATTAATAGTTAGTAAGGTAATTGTTAAGTTTAGGTATTGGGTAGGAATAGGAATGCAGAATATGGTCATGCAGAATATGTGCTCTATACGTACTAATAAACAGCCTAATAATAATAGACATACTAATATGCAACTAGTTAATAGTGAGAATTGGTCCGTCCCTATATGGTAGTGTTACCATATGTATATATATAATAGATAACTCCAAGACAGCTATGAATTCATAAACACACTTTTGCCGGAAAACAATGACAAAACATTTCAACCCCTGCTATCTGTTTTAGTTTGCAAGACATAAAAAACCTGTACAAGAACAACAAATGTAAGGTTTAGTGACACTGCATTACTGGCCTGATTAAGCAAGTGACTGTTCTATTAGCTGGCCTAAAACTCTTACCATGGCCCTAGGCCTTCCTTATGGTGGGGGCCCTATGTGTGTGTTTTTTTTTTGTGTGTATGTACTGTATGTGTGTGTAATATATATTGCCCATTTGGACAGTCCTCTCACATTGTGTATCCACCAATCAGAGTAGAGGATCAGTGCAGTGTGTTTAGTGAGCTGCATGCCTGTGTATGATGATGACCTATTGATCTCTGATGGCCAACAGAGAGTGATTGATCGATTAGGCCCTCCCTCACCGCTCCTGTCCATCAGTGCTCATAGTTCACTGTCAACTTACAGGCAAAGTCACTTACAAGCAGCTCTTCTGCCTGAAATCCCTGTAAATAGCATCAAATGAGTTATTAAGGTGCAAATGCTGTTTGTTAAAAATTGGTTTTAAGTACTTACTGACATTTACAGGGCACTTGCTTTGTGGCAGAACTAACTGTAAACAACAGGCTATCAAAAAAAAACATTGCCTTAGTTCAAGTCTCACTATGTCTGACAGTTACAATAAAATTAATCAAATAGGAACACACACACACACACACACACACACACATACACACACACACACACACACAAACACAAATCAATGCCCGAGACTACTGCTTGAAAATGCACGTCTGGGTTTTTATTTTGAGATTTTGAGGCTGTTCCTAACATATTAGAAATGAAGCAATATAACTGTCAACAGATGTTCCCTTTTGCACCGATTAAAATGGTTAATGAGAGAAATTTGACCTAAATATGGTCATTATAAAAGACCATCTAGATAATTTAAAGAAATTTCACATAGGATATGAAGGTTTAAATTAGAAATGCACTGAAAATACCTCTGCCAAAAATAATGGCCAGTTCTACCAGAAAATCACGAATCTTATACATCTATTAGAAATCAATTCTGCTGCTGTCAGCACCAAATGTGTGTCCTGCTCTTCCCTGAAGGACGACTCTGAGATATGGAGCTGATTAAGGTAGAAGTCAGGTATTTTTCAGCACAAGATTGCTGTCTTTAGAGAAGGAGGGACACATTTTACTAGGCCTGCTTTACTCGTAACACATTTTTATCTTATCAAACACAAATTAATACAAAGCAATCAGACACATAGTGGAGACCAGAAACACTGACAGATTAAAAATTCACTTTGGGTTTTAGTCATAAAAGGTGTTCCTGGATCAGTTCAAGGTGTCATGTGCTCATTAATATGTTAATTGGGACAGATAGGCTATAGCCTGATCTTGGTTTAGTAATTTAGCTCTAAAATGGTTGATAGATTAGCAAATAAAATCCCTGATAATGATGAAATTCTCTGATTATTGGGCCCAAGTTCTTCTCTAGAAATAACAGCTTCAATATTACTCTAGAAATAGGTTCAAACAAGAGATGTAAAACCCTGCAGGATAGTTTCACTTCTTACTAAGAGCCTATTGCTTCTTGGAAATTTGTGAAATGCAACCAGCACTGGAGATTAAGTTATGAATATATTTTTTATTTTGCATTAAAGTCTCCCATTAACAACTAACGAGTCATATTATTTTTTAGCAGTCTATTACATCCTTATTTGGCATATTCTCAAGTGAATATTGCAATGGACATCCAAAACAACTGACATGAAATTTAGCCTTTGGTCATAAATCAAATATAATGTGGTTTCAGATTCTTTCCATTTCAAAAGGAATTTTCCTTTTTCAAACAATACAACATTTTCCTAACTTATGATCTGATTAAAAACATTTCCACAGGGCTTCAGTAAATAACATCAAATTGTAAGTGATCCCACTGCTCAAAGTAACAGCTCTCAATTACACACAAATCCCTCAAGACTCATCGGATGAGTGAAGGCAATGTTTAACACCATAATGCCATGGATAATGTACAAATTTAAAACATTCACACTCAGTGCACACAGTTTAACTGAAACAGCGTTTATGGGAAGGAGGGGAATGACACAAAGTAAATTTAAATAATGAATCCATTTCTGAATAACTACATAAATAAATAAAGCACTACTTACCACCTTGCAGAACTTAATGTCTACTGATTTAAAGACAATAAATATACAAAATTCCCAACTGGCATAGAGCTCTAAAAGCACAGTTGACCGTCCAACATTTGGGCTGAATGTAGAACTCTGGGCCACAGATGACCCAGAAAAACAGATGTGCTCAAACTCAGCACCGATGTGACAAAACACCACCTGCTATAACCTCACACATTAGATCTTAAAACACACACAACAAATCACACATCAGTGTTGAACTGAAACTAAATAATAATTTTTTTAAATATTAATTTTTTAATCGCGATGCATCGATTTATTACTGCAGTATCAAAACTTTCCTTTTGCAAAGGTGACTTCAACTAGGTCTCATATGAGCCCTATTGCAAATAAACAACTTAATATAAATGATAATATTGCCAGTGTATTGGGGTGAATTTGTATTATTTTGGAGATGTGCACAGTGTTATTGGTAGACATAAAGCAACAGATGCATAATTATTAAATATTATCAAAGATCATTTGAATCAAATATTTCATTCTACTTACACAGGATAGGTGAATACCTGACCGAAAACTGGATAGTATGAGAGACAGAGGAGTGTTGTTGTAATAACCTACATGGTGAGCTGTAAAAACCATGTATTACCAAAACCATTTAGAAATAATATACATGGGTGAACATGACAGTAGAAATGACTCTGTGTGAAAATAAAAAATTAACATTGCAAAAAAAAATAAAGTAAAATTTCACTTATGTCTTGTATGTAAATGACAGAACTGGTCCATCGGTTGGTTTTGTTAGCCTATAGTTTTATATAGGCCCATTATATTTGTTTACAATCTGATTTTAATGTTACTTATATTTGTTCACCATTTTGAAATAAAATACTTTAAATAAAACAAGGTTGAGCAAGGTGATGGGGTGACATAACAATTATTTGAACAAATAAATCTGTTTAGCCTGCCATAATAAATGTACTAAACTAAATGTAAAGCGCCCATGTTTACGGTTACTGTTAGTACACCTCTCGGTAGTGTTACAACACTCTTTGTATTTGACGATAACACTTTACGCTTTACACGACGGTAAGTGCTAGCCTCCAACTACTTCAATTTACAGCAGACGAGCAAATTAACATCATATCAAAGTTTAAGACATATAGCGGCAAAATCAGACGCTAAAACATGTCACAACACACCGCGGTCTCTGTAACAGTTAAAGTGGGAAAAGACGCGTAGACTGCGCACTACATAAATCTATGTGATTGATGTTTCTATGAGATGTGAGTTTCAAACCTTTGACTCCAGCTGGCTGATGGATGTGGGTGACTGGGGCTCATGGTACTCCCGTTCGTTCTCCTTGCCCATCGTGTCCTCCTGGATCATGTTCGCTGGCGGAATCATGTTGATAACAGCTGAGCAGCACCAGTCTGTCGGGTATGTCTGGGCACCAGCCGCGCTCTACATGTTGAGTTGAACTGGAAGTTCTAAACTGCCGATGCGCTGCGAATAAATGGTGTACTATACCTATACCGCACTCGTCTTTCCATCAGTTTGTATATTGCATAGTGGAGACGCAGTCCGCTCTAGAGGAACTCACTTCATTACAAGTCAGAATCGTTCAGCAGACTGACTGGATTTGACTGTCAGGCTGTGGATCAGCCAATCAGAAACCGCTATAGGAGGAGTTCAGATCTGATTAATTCCCATCCTTTTTTTTAAATGGATCCAGTTTTGATTTTTAGTGAGCAGGGGCTGTTGTCACCTCTGTTCTTATCGTCACAATTATCTATTAATTGTTAATCTAAAAATAATATTGTTAATGGTTAGTGCTACTGTTTTTGTTCTATTTCTGGATTGTATCTAGAGTGCAATCTATTGGGGGTTTGGAGAGGATCTGCTTTTGAAGAAAAGAAGAAATTCTAAACAAAATTTTGGGGTTGTAAAAAAGACATAGGCTCAGTGTTGGCAATTTAGCAACTTTTCACACTACCCTAGCAACTTTTTCTTCCAACAGCACCTAGCAACAAATTTTGCTATTTTTAAAATGTTTTTGACAACTTTTAGCAACTTTTGATAAGTGATTCAAACAATAAAAAGACACACATTTTCCATCTAAATTACACAAGAGGAAACCAAAGATGCCTATTGCAATACACACATCACATGAATCAAGTTAGCTGCTATTTGCAATTGTTCAATTTAATAATAATAATCAAATAATTTGATAATTTAATAATTGTTAATTTATGATACACCTTGTTAGTAGCGTGTACCTGTGGCTGTTGATCAAAATATCTAGAAAGAAACATATCTAGAAAATTGGAAAAGCTACTAGTAATTTTCCAGGACATTATCTGTTATCCATTATTCATTATCCATTGTAACCCTGTAACCCGACCACACAAAATACAATGAGTAATTTAAAATGCAGGTAAAAAACCTGTGAAAAATCAATACGGAAAATTCCTTAATATTAACATAGTAGATTGTGTCCTATTTTTACAGACTTTTCTTAGAGTGTAGCATACTAACTGCTAATACACTTAAAACTATAATTGTTCAGAATGTATAGTTTTACTAGTTTACTAGCTAATTACAAAAAAAAAACTAAATTGTAATTGTTTAAAAACGTGTAAGTGTTCAATAATTCAATGTTGTATTTAAAAATACGGTTATATTTTAATATTATATTACGTTATATTATTTTACAAACAAATCTAAATTAACATATATAAAATATATTTTTTGCTGAGACTTGACACAATTTTGCGTCGCAATTACATAACTTTTAGCAACAAATCAACTTCTTTTAGCAACTTCCCCTGAAAATTAGTTGGTAACACTGCATAGGCTATTCTTTTTACATATGTAGGATTTACAGTCAGGGGTGTTTCAAACAACATTTCTGTACATGCTAAAATTAATGTGCATCCCAGTTTATGCACTATTCTTTGTTGTTTTATAGTATAAATAGTGAGTAGTGTGTTCACATTGAAAATCCCAAAAAGAAAATGAGCACTTTAAATACCAAGATGATGGGTGAGCAGAGCACAAGTAGGCCTACATAGTGTATAGTGCATATTTGGGACGCAACTTTCGATTACAAGTTTATTCAGAGTAAGGTAAATGGAGAATTTGCTTTGCTCTATAACGATAAAATAGAAATATTATGCATTAATAAAATGTCAATATTTTTCACTTTTTTAAAACAAATATTTCACAAAAAAATGTTTAAAAAGTCTTTTAGACATTGACATTTGAGTGCCAAAAGTTCACTATTGATTGTAACGAACTAAAGGCTTAGATAAAAAATGTGTAGTCTATTAAAAAAATCGACAGACTAATGTTTCATGTACCACTTCTACAATGCAAAGGTAACACAAAATCAGAACCTGCAAATTTATGTTTAAAACATGAAATTAATGAAAATAAAAATATAATATTACAACATCTACGTGATTTTACTGTATGTAAATGGGCCACAGAGCCTGCTCAGAGCAGCCTTAACTCTGCTGTATAAAGACACCAGATGCAACTGTTTGGAGAATTCTATAGTTTTGTATATCGTAAATATCTTTTAAAACATAACATTCTATTTTGTCAAGGTTGTTGGTCTGATTAATTCCCATCATTATTTAATTAGTCTTACCATATGTGAGATTCTTACATCAATATCCTTTTGAGCTGTTGGATCCAGGGCTCACAAACATTCTGCCGTTTTTATTCATTCTAGAAATCTCCTGTGTCAAATCCACTTAATCCCATCATTTATTTTCACAGATTTGGCAAAAAAATCAGCAAGAATGACCAATGTAATGTGTTACAGTGACATCAGATGTCGAAAAAAATATCCATCAGTTGTGATGGCAACAGATGCATCTCATTTATATGAGAGAAAGAATAAGAGAGCAGTGGAGGAGAGTGAGGAAGGGCTGTAATTTTCACCCCCAGCTGCAGAAGAGGAGTGAAGGCCATGGGGAAGGAAAGCAGGGTCTTAATTATAGAGGACAGAAGGGTTTTACTCTATTAGTTAGTTCAAGATCTTGCACAGTGACACCAGTATTTACCAGCATCATCTTCTCCTGGAGATTTCAACTTAAATCTGTCGTAATCTGACTGCTGTTGAATCTCAAATATTTTAATAGGCCACATATGCCAGACACATTCTATAAACTGATTTGTAATTATCTAATAGTAACAGGGTTTCAAGTTTATCTCAATTGAGAGGAGGGTTAAATTCACAACATTACTTTTATGGGAGTTAATTAGGAGTCCTTCTTAGGTTAAACCAATCAAAGCAAGGTCAGATCAATTCCAGAATAATAAGCCAATTTTAGATGAAGGAGGAAATCTAGCACTTCTTCAATCATTTCTCAATCAAACATTACTCAGGGAATCATGATGTACTTTTCAGACTAATGAATTACATCAGCTGTGAACACGCTTCAGTCTCTTTCAGCAAATTCCTCCTCGGTCTAAAATAAGCGCTTCATCTGTTGGTTACAATATGACATATGAAATCACAGCTCAAACATCTTCCCCAGTGCTGAGTCTAACAAAGTGATCAGAGGCAGATTCGGCATTGCTTTGAAAATAAAATGGCTTCGAATCAATCACATATCCAAGCATAAATAATTGTTTTTTGATATGCACTTCCTTCTGAGCTGTTACCTTAAAATAGTGTTGATCCGACTCTAAATATAACTATGGCTCACATTATATATGGATTCAACAATATCTTTTCTTGTCATCTGTTTTACCTCTCTGATCCCTGCTAAATTTAGCATCTGAATAATGAACTGAGGTAATTGCGCTCGCTGCTTGTTTGTCAGATGACTCAACATAAACAGAGAGAGAGAAAGAGAGAGACAGACAGACAGACAGACAGAAATCCACTACGACACTGAATATTTAATGGTATCCCACTTAAGGTGTGACAGCAGCATCATAAAACAAGAGATTATCGGTACAGTATCTCAATAGTCTGATCAGTAGAGTATCTTCATATTCTGTTATCCTAGTGATTTGATCACGCTATTGAATATCGTACTTGTTATTCCTCATCCTCAAATCAGTTTAATGTGACATACAAAATTATGGTAATTTACTTGGATTTCATGCCAGTTCAGTGCACAGCCTCATTGAACCGTCACTCTCTCTATCTACTGTTGAAACAAAAACAGAGGGAAATCTTAAACTCTCAGTGTAAGAGTGTGATGAAACTGCTTTCCGGGTTTTCCATCTGTTCTGTTCGAAGCTCCACATGAATCATGGAGTCACAAACATTTGTTAAAATGCCTTCAAGGGAAAACACACAGACACACACACACACACACACACACACCTCTGCCAGTAATGACATTTTACTCTAATCGTTTTCACCAGGGCTGAGAGATGAAACAGGTTGCCATGCTTCTGCTCTAAACACTTCTGGATGAAACTACATCAAAGCACGGAGCAGAAAACAAGAACATTTTAAGGTAAACATACAAATATTAAATGCCACAGGCATATCCAGATGCCAAGAGAGAACATAAAATGCAAATTCTGTGTGATATAGTAGAGTAAAAACTAAAGAAAGCATATAATCTGAAGGTACAGTTAGAAAAAGAGCAATACTGCAAAAACATCAGCTGCTCATCCACAAAGTCTACAACACATGCCCAACACACAATCCAAGGGCCTCAATGCTCAATGCAATTCAATGAACAATAAAAACCTAAACACACAACTAAACAACCCCGACACACAGTTAAAGAAGCTGAGCACACAATACAACAACCCCAACACACCATATCCTCTAAAGCAGGTGAAGGTTTCAATAGTATGTTCTAGCCTGTGCGTAGATGAGCTCGTCAAATGAGAAAGACAGTTAGAAGACACAGCACATATTACTGGCTCCACCAGAGGGCGCTAGTCCTGTGGGCTCATTGAGACATAACATTGCGTGCGTGAGAGTCAGTGTATGTTCCATCAAACCAACAAACCTTTTGAGTATTTTGCGTCTCGAGACGCAAAATAGTCAAAAATAGTCAAAAGGTTTGTTGGTTTGATGGAACATACACTGATTCCTTTCTCCAATTGTCAACAATTATTTTGCATAAATCACTGTTTTAGGAGATTTACAAAATAATGACTTCACACATGTTTCACAAAGAGCATGAGATTAAACAGTTTAGATGTTAAACTGAACTCGATTTGAACCCAAAACAAGACGCCCACACGGTGAACAGGGTCCTCTAGTACCACTGTTAGAGAGTCGGAACAGCAGGAAAACTCGGGAATGTGCTAAATGGATTTCCTGAGAAGTTCTCCAGAGCATTAGTACCAATTAAACCGCCCCCTAATGAGGGATTTAAGCCTGCATCCCAGCAGGAAAGAGAGCAAGAGAACGGGAGGAACGGGGGCTGGGAGTCATGACTAACACTGTAAATATTTTTCAGGTAAAGTTCTTCGCTTTCAACGGCCATCTCTGATTCCTAATATGCTGGGGATTTTCTATTCTTTTTAGGGCAGGTTAATATATTTTCAGATTGCTTGCAGATACGTGTGGGCTTGTGATGTCCTATGGATCTCTGTGTCTGTCACTTACATATTGGAGCTAAAATAAGTAA